TTTACATGCAAATATTTCAGTTTTATACCTTTCTAACGACTACTTTCACGCGTTCATACGATTTTTCTACAATGTTTGGTGATTTTTACAAAACTGCCTATCATTTCCGGAATAATTTCGGACCAGCCTATGAAGACGAACATTTTCACACTGGTTTGAGGCCATTAAAAATTATGAGAAAAATTGTGAACAAATTAGACTCAATTTCCAAACTCCCAGAGTTTACGGATCCAAAATCTGACTTACGATGATTTTTCTATAATTTTTCTAAAACAAGGACAGAAAAGTCAAAAACAAGATATTGTTTTTATCATGCTAAAAACTCTTATACTAGTGTTAGATGCAAGTTCATATGGTTTAAACATACTTTTAAAACATCTAGACATGTTATCTTACATGTATTTACACATAGGATCATATAAATTGTCTTGACTAGCAAAACATAATAAACTATAATCGGTATGGGTTGGAAAACCACACTTTCAAAGAGTTTATAATTATTTAAAGGCAAAATTATCTTGTTTTGCAAGAAAAACGGAGTTATAGTTCACGTAAATCTGTTAAGGCTCTTGTGAGACATTCATTCTCCATACCTAATTAGTGTACACCATAAGTCCTGTAGTTGTAGTTATAACCAGAGTCTCCTGGAGGGAGAGCGGGAGTTTGTGTATAGATCTATACGGGGTTGACACCCCACACCTGAGCTGCTCGCTAGACAGGCCAGTCTAGGGTGACAAATATCTTCTCAGAAAACGACACCTGAAGAACGTCAAGACAGACACTCTGTCATGTTAGTATGGTTATAATGACTCACATAGAGAATAACAACATTATTTGAATTTACGAAGAATTTACACTCTACTAGTTTTACAAAACACCAAACTATGTTTCGTATACTTTGTAAACTGACTTCACCACTCTGGTCTTAGGGTTTTAAGGCCACAACTCTTTTATATACAGAAAATATAGGATTTTCTGGGAACACACTCTTTCAAATTCAAACAAAGGAAAACAAAGAACATGCATGCAACTATACACGTTTTGGAACGAGACTCACAAACTACTTTTTATAGAAAATATTGGATTTTTTGGAGTTTTACAACTTTTTAATAGAAAATATATTACAAAGTTTTTCCTACAAATACGCTTATGAACTCACCAACATTCTATGTTGACGCTTGTCAAAACGACTTGTATTCTCAGGGACTCAGTGAACAGGTACTCGAGCCTCAGATATGGATTACTTTACTACCTTTTGAGCAACCATACTTTATGTTGTTTTTGTGTAATTGATAAATGAGTACAATTTGTAAACAATGAATGGTGGTATATTGTAATGTATGATGTTTGGTTGCTATGTTTCATTCATATTCAATTGTTATGATACTCCACAATGAAGTCAACCGCCCCCGGACATTTTCGCCGTTCTGGTTCGGGGGTGTGACATGTCATGCACTGGATGTGCCACATGGAGATGAAGGGTGCCACTAAGTGATAAGGTTTGCCATGCAATGGTACTTGATGTTCCATTGGTGTATTTTTGATTCCAATGTAATGTCTTTCAAGGATGAAGGTTCCAGAAGCATGGTGAATTGTGATTGGTTGACACCATTCATGGGACTATGGGCCAATAGGTTTGGCCTATTAAGGTTTTTGGTCCTACCCTTTCACTATAAATATGGATGACTGCTATTCATTTGAAAATGTCTTGTATTCTAGAGTGATAGGAGAATCTCTGTTGAATTATACTTGTAACCCCTATTTGAGAGCTCATAAAAAAGAATACTCCCCTCCTGCATGTGGATGCAAGTCACCTTGATCGAATCACGTAAATATTGTATTCTGGAGTGATAAGAGAATCTCTATTGAAATATACATGCAACCTCTTTTATAATCTTCTTTTTCTTGTGTTCCGCTTTACTTCCAGGGAAAATTAGTCATTTTACAAGGGCTTAACCAACTAAAACAAACTGAACAAAAAGCATTACCAAAAACTAAAAAGAGAATCCTTTTTGCACCAAATCCCATAAAATTACATGCAACCTCTTTTATAATCTTCTTTTTCTTGTGTTCCGCTTTACTTCCAGGGAAAATTAGTCATTTTACAAGGGCTTAACCAACTAAAACAAACTGAACAAAAAGCATTACCAAAAACTAAAAAGAGAATCCTTTTTGCACCAAATCCCATAAAATTGCTAAAGCACAGTAATAGAAAGATATAAATTATTAAAAACCTAATTGTAGTTGAAAAAAAGTGTTAAGTGGCCCCACCTTTATAGCCACCAGTGTGAAGAATTTTAAGATAACTCTGGGGAATATTCCTTCCACTATGTTTTGCAGAAGGATGATCATCATAATAAGGATTTGAAGAGAAAAGAGCCCGGACAGATTGTTGTCTGAAAAAAGAAGTTTTATAGGCTAAAATGGAGTTTAGCTTCAAATAGTTGGATATAAGAGCAAATATACCAACATCACTCACTGAAGTACAACCTATAAGGCTTATGTAAGTTATTGAAACACAGATATTAGATATTGCCGGGAGGTCAAAATCTGGCACAAAAGTTGAGAGGATAAGTAAGCAATTTGACCAAAAGATCCCAAAACAAATGGAACAAATGAAAATGTGGTTTAGATATAGGTAATGAAAACATTGGATTGTGGTGTACACATAAGGTCTGCTTCTTTTCTAGAGTAAATGACCACTTTGTCCTTACATATTAAAAAATGGAGAATTTCGTATATGCCTTTTAAACATCAAAATATCATATTCGCCCTAAAAAAATCTCTAAATATCATATATACCCTTTATAAGCATTCATAATATCATATTTGTCCAAATTCTTTTTTTAAAATATTTTATCTTCATTTTAAATCATTATTTTTATAAATTAACTATTATACCCTTATTATAAATCTAAATTTAAAATAACATTTATACCTTCTATAAAGTTTTAACATATCATATTTACCGTAGTAAAGAATCAATCATGATTCCAACCACATGTCTTGTGGTCATTTTTTGCTAAGTCTACGTAAACAGCTTAAAGAAGAAAACCGGCAACCAAAAGCCTCTCGTAATGAAATTGCCAACGGTGAACGTTGTTGCCTACGCACGTAGAACTGGTGATCACATGGTAACCTTTCCGGTTCACCATTTTAGCAATTGATCAATGAACCATACTTGGCATTCATATGCTCAACACAATACAATGTACTAAGTGGAAAATTGTCGCTGCATGGCATCCATATGGCGGGGTCGATTTAAAGGCATAAATGTTGCATTTTTGTAAAACCACGACGACATCGTAAATAAATTCATCTTCAACCACTATTGAAATTCATTAGAAAAAAAACACAAAATATAGAATTCAACGTTTTGAAATTATGGCATTATAGGTATTCGTGTTAATTGGCATGCCAAGAGTGTTTGATTTAAAAGCAAGGTTGTAAAACTCGTCGAGTTGGCCGATTACTTGGCCGAGTACTCCCTATTCGGCCCCTTACCGAGGCGAGTTACTGAATCCGAGCACTTCCCGATCAGCCCCTTACTGAAGCAAGTAGTGCTGTAAAACTCGGCCAAATCGGTGATTAATATGTATAATATATTTAATGATTTATTATTTAACACACACACACACACGTGATTGTCACTACATATATATCTTAAGTTTTCAGTAATTATTCACAAAGTGAGATCATTGTGTGTTTTTCAGTTTTTATGTACTCACGTGTATCTAATTTTGTTATATATTTCAATCAACTTATGATTTTAACTTATGATTTTGACATATATAATTCCCTAAAAACATTTCTACATGAATTACTGAATCCGAGTACTCCCGAGTACTCGCTACTCAACAGTAGATCGAACATGTACCGAGTAGCGAGTTCTACAACCTTGTTTAAAAGTGTTGGTGCCTCCTCCAACACTTTTGCTTCATGTTATGATAGTTTTACCAATATCATCTCCAAGAATAATTATATTCTTCAATTTTGAATCGATTTTGATATTATCCTTATAAACATATGAAGTCAGATCGGAAGGATTCCAATAAAACAAGGATATTTCGGTTATTCCAATTTGTTTTTGATATTTATAATGATTTTAAATTATAAAAATTATTATAAAATATTAAAAAAATAAATTGTGAAAATATGATATTTTATAAGCTTATGAAAGTATATATGATATTTAGAAGTTATGATGGGCACATATGATATTTTGATATTTATTAAGGGCATATACGAAATCCTTACTAAAGAAAATGTAATAATTATTATTTTCTTGAACAAGAAAGTTGCCAAAATGAGTGTAAAGTATGGAATTTCACAAGGTTTGACAACCTAAGCCTTTATACATATAAGCTCATTTGAACTTGAAAGTTACAAGAAATTCATTCTCAATTACAAGAAAAGACGATAAATAAGATTGCTTAAATGAAAAAAAATGTCAAAATAGAAATTAGTTTAAAAGGTCGAATGAACCTTTATGCATGTTTAAATAACTATTGGTATATATTTGGACTAAATAACAATGATTTAAGCATAAGTATACAAGAAAATGGTAGTTTATGGGAAAAGTCGGCTAATTAGCCACCAAAAGTAACTGATGTTCTTATAGGAACCATGTTTAACTATTCGAATAAGTTTGGAATTATGTTAAATGTGTTATCAACTTTTACATATAATTCGTTCACTTTATACTACAACATTTGAAAATATGATATTATTTTTTCTAGATTAAGGTTTTCAATGGCTTTACAAATTTGTAATCGTCAATAAAACTATATTCCAACGGTCATATTTATCTTTCATTTTAAATTAGTAATCATCGTTTCATTTAAAATGTTTAAATTTGATAGGCGACCGTTGGGTAACGGTCGAGATATTTAACATACACTCTTATTATATATCTTTCTTTTCTTCCACCTGGTCTCATAATTTCTTCTTGATCTTAAAGAAAATCGTTATATTTTATCTTTTATGTTTGAAAGGGTAGGATGTTGCAATCTACTCTACATTTTGTGGATCATAATTTTAGTCTTCTAAATATATCTGGAAGGACGAAACATGGAGAAATTGTTCGTCTGAGGCTAAGAAAGTCACTAAAGAAGATGATTAAAGGTAACATTCTCTCATATGATCTCCCTAATATAATAAAAGACTCATTTTGATAAAAGGTGACATTCTCTCGTATGATCTCCCCAATATAATAAAGACAAAACTTTAAAAGTGATCTATGGTTTACGAAAATCAGAAGTTTAGTTCCTAATTTTTAAAAATCTCACAGATGGCTCATAGATGGTCCATGTGGTTTCAAAAAAACAAATGATCATTTTCTCTAACTAGGTTAGCTTCGACCGTTAGGTGAAAAAAATTTCTGTCTTTTAATAGAACAGTGACCATTTATGAAGTTTTTGCTTTATTTAAAAAAAATAAAATAAAATATAATTACTTAATATAAGCTCTCTCTCTCATAAATAATAATAATAATAATAATAAAAAACCACCCACCCATCTTTGTTACAGAATCCGATTTTCAAGCCCTCCAATCATTCAAACAAGAACTCATTGACCCAAATGGGTTCCTGAAAAGCTGGAACGATAGCGGATATGGAGCTCAAGGTCACTGTGCTCAAGGTCAAGTTATCGTGATTCAACTTCCATGGCGAGGATTAGGTGGTCGATTCACACCGAAAATAGGTCAGTTTCAAGCTCTCAGAAAGCTTAGCCTCCATGATAATGCCATTGAAGGTTCGATTCCGAAGGAATTAGGGTTCCTTCCGAATCTCAGAGGACTTCAGTTGTTTAACAACAGGTTCACTGATTCGATTCCTCCCGCATTGGGTTCATGTCCATTGCTTCAAACTATTGATTTGAGTAATAATTCTTTGGTGGGTGTAATCCCAGAAAGTCTTGCTAATTGTTCTAAGCTTTGTAAGGTCAATTTGACTTTGAATTCTTTAACCGGTTCAATCCCTGTCCCGATTACAAAACTAAATTCCCTCATGTTTCTTGCTCTACAGTTCAATAATTTTTCTGGTGCTCTTCCAGATTCTTGGGGGAATGACAAAAATGGCGTCAAATCCATGGTCAAATCTTTAACCTTTGACCATAATTTCTGGTAACAGCCTTTCATCTCCAATCCCCACACAATTTTCCAACATCACCACCTTAACTGTTCTTGATCTGAGCTCCAATACATTATCCGGGGAACTACCATTACAGCTCACAAGATTAAACAACTTGCAGAGATCATCACTCGGGAACAATTTGCTTTCGGGTAACTTATCAAGCAATATGTTTTCACTTCTTAGTTTGATTTTCCTCGATGTTTCTGATAATAATTTCACAGGTGTAGAGATTGTTTGAGCCGAAATGGAGGATGCGGTGCTCTTCAAAAAAAAAAATATATATATATTTCTAAGCCTTATTTTACTTTCAAGATCAAAAAAAGCAAGACAAGTTTATCAATAAGCTTTTAGATGCTAAGGTTAGATCATTTAGATGGTAGCTTCTTTAATTTTACCATTGTTCTTAAAAACATGATAAACCATCTATCCCAGTTTACAACATTCTTTATTTAAAACTTAAAACTAATCGTAATTCTTGTCAATTTTTATTTAAAATAATCTAGATTACACACACATGTACATTTATGGCTTGATTCTAACCTATGGAAGTTAATCTATTAAATTGAATAGAATTTCAGAGGTTTCCCTTTTTATAGCGAAACATAACTACCTTTCATATTCAATATATTCAACACTATGATGGGTATCAAAATTAAAACAATCTTTAGTTTTAGTCAAGTTTTTTGAGGTATTTTGTGAAACAACAATCTCAGTTACATAGGTTGTGTGGTGTAAGTTGTAATTATATAACAAAAGTTCTTGGTTAGTTTTCAATACCTTCTTTTGGTCTATTTATATTACTCATTCCAAAGTTCCTGATTACTTTTCCATGATGGTGGAATTTACAATATTGAATTTTTTTTTTATCATAAACCACGTATAATTGGTAAGCCATCATGGATTGAAGAATAAGTAATAGCTTGTAGAAGCTACATAAGGAAATCAAGTATATAAGAGATTTAACTAGTAATTTTTTTTAACGTATAGTTTACATATAATTAATAGTGTTTAATTTACTCATTTGAAACTCTATTAACATCAGCTTTTAACTTTTTAGCTAAATGCATGAAATGAAAATGTACTTTTGGTTATACCTCTATTATAGCATTATACTTTCATCAATTTTCTATTATAGCATCCTACTTGAAAAAATATACCCGATAATAATATTATACTTCCAATATTATCTTATTAGAACATTATGTTTTGAAATTTATATTCAATTATATTATTGGAAATGTATTTTTATTTTGACGAGTTTTTATAATTTGGTAAAGTTTTTAAATTACAATGTTGTACTAGGAAAATGAACATAAACAAGTCATCCCATTCTGTCGAACATGTGCATGTATTTCTCATGTAAATTGAACTTTGTACCTTCTGAATAAATTAAATTTTGGCCTTTAATTACGCAGATAATCAAAAAAGATTCAAGAAACCAAATAATCCACTCTTGCAATTCTTGCAACAGAGATTTGTTAACTAGAAGCGGAAGAAAAAAAAATGTTCAGTCTTGTACTAAAAAAAGAAGCCACTATCTTGTTGCTGGCATCTGTAAGGGTTATTGCATGAAATAAAGACACTTTACCAAAATTCTCATTCATAGAAATGTACTTCAAAATTTACTTATATCTTTGCAAATATAGCATTCAATGAGATGAATTGTTTCTATAATTCGATATTTTAGGAAAGTACATTGCGATTATTTATAAACGTTTCCAATAGTTACAAGTTAACAAGCCATTCCTACTAATACTTTATCTAACCTGATTGGTTTACAAAACTTCCTATACAAATTAATAGCCTTAAGGTTAAAAAAGTACATGTGCAATTTGTAAGTGTTGTTGGATTTTTTTTATATATGGTTGTTTAATGGTGAAATTAGATTCATGTTTTTTTTCAAAAGTTTTAAAAGAAGTAACTGAGAAGGGTGTTCGGTTGATATGTTTTGTAATTTTGGCATGTGGGTTGGAGTTCAAAGAATTTCAAAAAAAAAAATATTGAATCTTCATAACAAAATAATTAATCAGATAGTAATTATATAATATTTGATACATATTTTTTCAAATAATGTTTTAGCTTGTGTACGTTTAATATTAAGGACACGTTATTGTGTGTTTAGACATGGGTTTTGATTATTTGTCAGTGAATTTTGTATAATAACTGTTTACATATTTACCTTTTTTTCTTTTGTTAACAAAATTAACTTGTCTTTTTAGTTTTAATTTTTTTTTCTGCATCGAAAGTACATAATCTCCAAAAGAAAACATTGTATTACTCTACTAAAAGAAACGTTTATATAAATTAATTCGGATAATATAATTTATATATAATTTTTAAAATTTTATAGGCATTTATTATAAAATATATTTTTCAATCTTTTACTCGTGGTTTTCATGGGTTGTAACCTAGTGTGTGTGTACGCGTGTGTGTTTGTGTGTGTGTGTGTGTGTGTATATATATATATATATATATATATATATATATATATATATATATATATTATATATAGAGAGAGAGAGAGAGAGAGATGTTTGGGTGAGAACTTTGAGGACTAATCTAGGATATTCGTCTAAAAAATGAGGGGCTATGATTTTTTGCATTTTATTTTTATTTTAATAAAAACTGGCGGTGGAATTGTTTAAGTTTTTTTTCGTGTTTATTATTTAGGAAACCCTAGTTTTTTCTATATTCGATGTTCTTGTTTCTCTGTTTGCTTTGGTCCGATTTTCTATTAATCGAACTACTTTTTGTTTTGTTTCTTGTTTATTGTTGTAGAAATTATTAGATTAGTTGATATTGTCACTTTTTGATATCGTTTTTTATTTATATAAACGTAATTTTATCAAATCTACAGTTTATCTGTTTGTTTTTTATGCGTTGTTTTTAACAACAATTGTTTAGTTTCTTTTTGTTAATATTTTGTTTATGTTGATTAGTTAATTTGTTTATATCGACTTATTTTCATACATTGATTCATGTTTGTAGTTTCTATGTAGGAAGGGTGTAGTTATTATCGTTTTTTTGTTTTTATGTAAAAATGATTCAAAAAAATGTTGTTGTTATCTATCTATATATAAGGAATTCAGAGTTCTTTGATTTAGCAATGATAAATATTTGTTTGTTTTAACAATGATAAATATTTCTTGTTGCAAAATATCTTATGTAATCAATGAAATGATAGACTCCTTTACAATTTTGTTTTCTTAATTCTTATCTATAACAATTGTTTTTTGCTTCCTTACTTGTTTTGATATATTTTTTTAATTCTCTTTTAACATTATTTACTTATGTGTTTTATTTCTATGTAGTTGAATCAAAGAAAACGGAGAGATTATCTCTTCCAAAAGATGCAAAAGATAATTTTTTAGATTTTTCTTCTAACATAAAGGCTTCATTTAGGTCCAATTCTTTGGTAGATATTTCGTCTTCTTCCAAAGGAGCTTCATCGGTCAAACTTGTTAAGGTTAAAAGGGTTGCCAAAGTCATTTCAAGTATGAATGAAGATGATGATTTTGTTCGTCCTCCTGATCTTGGTCAATTTAATGTTAAGAATGCTGAAATTACATATAGGAATCCTTCGGGTTTAGTCTCTACAATTTACAGAATCCCTAATGATATTCAGAAAGTTATAGTTAAGGATATAGGGTTTGGATTTCTTAAAGAATTTGTGGTTAAAAAATTTTGCAGAGAAATTTGTTCGTGGGTTCTTGAGAGATGATGAAAATAGAAATATTCTTTGTATCAACAACAAATGAGATTCATATTACTAGGAGAGGTGTGCATGACATGTTTGGACTTCCAATGGGTGATATTCCTATGAATTTATCTATGAACACTTGTTTTGGGATTGTTGTTATTAAAATCAGGAGGAATCAGTTCTCTATGAGTAGGATTAGACTTGTTAATCTCAAAGAATTTTTAGAAAAAAGCATTGATTCCGGTTTTATGTTTATATTGAACATTTTGGTTGCGTATGTGACCCTATGGATGCATGCAATCAAAAAAGTTTGGAAATTTTTGAAGAAGAAGTGTCTATTGAAGGTCTTGATTGGTGTGACTTTGTGATTGCTTGTTTGAGTCAAATACAAAAGACATCAAGAATCCTCAATATTTGTTGGTCTGGTTGCATTTCTAGTGGTGAGTTTAAATTCTATATTTTGTTCAATTATTTTTTGGTAAATTAATTATTAATTATATTTTTCATGTTATGTAGTTATTGTATCTTCATTGCACAAAGACATCTTCAGAATCATTCGCTATGGTATATCATGCACCATCTTATTGGTTTCTAACAAAATAAATTGAAAGAAGCATTTAGTAATGGAGTTTATGCGAATGTTGAAATCATATAAACATATGAAGAATTTATTGATGATCCAAAAGTTAAAGATTCAGAAACTATTAAAAAGGTGATATTTTTTTTCATTTTTAATAAATATTTAATTTTATAATCTAATTTAATTGTTCTTTTAATACTTTAATAAAATAAAAAATTGTTTTTTATATTTTTAGATAAAGAACACATTACTCTTGCTACTGTCATGAGAAGGAGAATACAAAAGAAAAAGATGAATGAGAATAAGGAAAACATATCTGTTGTTGTTGTTGTTATGAAGAAAAAAAACAGATAAAAAAAAGATAAAAAAAAGAATGTCCCTTTGAAAATTAAAAATAAAATCTAAGAAAAAAATCCAAAGTTCAGCGAGTTGAATGTAAATTGTTGTTTTTTAACTGATTTTTATCTTTATTTACCTTTATAATTTATAACATTTTCCTTTATTTACCTTTATAATTTATAACATTTTGGATCATTTTGATAAAGGAAACAATGTTGTTCAAGAAAAAACAAGTGAGAGTGAAGCTAGAGATGATGATAAGTTTTTTTTTCTTTTTGTATATTTTTAAATTGATTTTTATTTTTATTGGGATTTATAATTTAAAATTCTTTTTGGATTATACTGATAAAGGAAAAAAATTTGTTGAAAAGATAACAAATGATAAAAATTTTGTTGAAGAGAACATAATCATAATGAACTTAGAGCCGATGGTAAGTTTTATTTTTTGTTTATATTTTTTAATTTGATTTTTTTATTTTTATTGAGTTTTATAATTTGAAACATTGCATATTTTTGTGGATAATGTTGATAAATGTAAAAAATTTATTTAAGAGAACATAAAATATAATGAAATAAGAGATAATGGTAAGTTTTTTGTTAATAATTTTTTAATATCTAAATTGAAATTTAAATGTAATTGATTTTGATAAACATTATAATGTCATTGAAGATTGGATGGATAGCGGTCCTTTTGTTCATCGATTAAATATTATTCTTGATGGTTCAAAGTCTTTAGAGGTATATATGTTTCTACATCATGGTTTTGAATCATAAACTGTTTGGATCATTTTTTAATCCATTTTTTGAAATTAATATTATTTTTCAGGATTTTAAGGAGAATATAGATTTTTTGTTTAAAAGTTATTATTATTTGAAGCCTACTATTGATGATTGGATCAATCGTTCTTGGAATCAGCTCCCAGGCAACAAAGAGATGTTAAAGTATGCCGATAAACGAAATGTTGAATTTAACCAAGTTCATCAAAATCTTGTGTTATTTTTTGGCCCAAAAGTAAATCAACATGTTGAAGCTTCTAAGAACTTGACAAATGTTGAAAAACAAAATGAAGATGTTCAAGTTTCTAAGGAGTTAAAAGATGTTCAACTTGATCAATTGTCGATGCCATAATTTTTGGATCATCCTAGGGTTCAGGAATAATTGGAGGTGTTAATGAAAATTAATGAAGATATGGATGATGATAATATTGAGCCAAACAAATGTTGAGTCATCCAATTGTTTCAAATTAGTTTAATGAAGCTTATGTTATTATTCCAACCCCTTCTAGAAAGCGTTCTCTTGTTTGTTCAAATCATCATTTGGTTATTGGTGAATCTTCTACAAGAAATGTAGGTCAAGTTGTTGGATTCAAAAATATAGAAGTAGTTGAAAACTAAATTAAGGGGAATTTGTTCGATCCAGACATTAGTTTAGATATAGGTTTTAGAACTCCAAATGATCCAATTCCACTTGATAGTTTTGAAGAGAAGACTAAGGAATCAATCATTTTTTCTCCAATACCAATACAATCTTTTAACATCATTGCTGAGCCAAGTAGACCACAAAAGAGATATAGAGTCTGCTCCACCACGTTGTTCACCTTGTCATACATAATAAGTTGATACAAGCGAACGCGTTTCACGTTTGGAAGAAAGGGTTGGGACTTCCCTCTTTTGGCTACTCGTAATCATAGGTATGTATTTATTGATGTTATTTTTTAATATTTTTTAGTATATGTTTTAATAATTTTAATTTTTTTAGGGAAAAAGTTTATGAATCCGCCAATGGATCTGTTGATATAAGATTTGTGATGGAGTTTCCCATAACGGGTTGTAGGATTCACAAATGTGTTATTGATTTATGGTATGATTTTCTGAATGATCTTAAAAAATTTAAAGAAATGTCCCTTCAAGGTTTTTCATGTTACTTATGGTATGATCCATATTATTTTTTATTTTTTCTTAATATTTTATATTTTGTAACTTTTTTCATTTGTTAGAAAATATTGTTTTCAAAAAGACATAAATTATTAATGCATGATTTGTGGATAGAATTCGAATTCATTTGGAAAAGTTTCCCCGTTTTAAAAATTCACGTGCTAATTTGGTATGTTAATTATTTATATTTCTATATTGTTAATTATATTTAAAAAAATTATATTACAATTTAATATTTTTTTTTTGGAAAAGTATGCTTTCATAATCTAAGGAAAGAACATTATTTTTTGGTTTTGATTTAATCAATAGAAAGATGAAAGTGATTGATAACGACATGACTAGAGGAGGGATCCCTTCAAAATATCGGGTTTTTCTTGATAATTTGGTAATTTTTTGTCCTATATTTACTTATTTTTTTGTTTGTTAAGTTAATAAAAAAAAAATTGTTTATGTAGAAAACAATGTCTAAATAGTATTTGACTATTACGGATCATCCTTGAGTCAATGCATTCAAAATAATGAAGATGGAAAGGTTTGAGATGGAGTGGTAGACAAAAAAACAATGATGTTTACTACGGGTTACTTCTCATGAGACACATGGAAGTTTATCGTGGTGGTGGAGCGGAGAAAATTGATGTTGATATATTGCTTGAGTGTTGAAGCCACAGCATGCAATTGGTGGAAATGAGGAAGAAATATCTTGGTAAGATTTTGCTGTTAGATTTAAATTTGTGCAAACCTTCTTTTGTTACAACTCTAGAGGATTATGATAAACTAAGAAGCTACAAAAAGAAAGAAGATTTACACCGAAGGTTATCTGCATGAAGTTGAAGTGAGGGTTCAAGCAACAAGTATTATGTGATCATTTGTTGTTTCTTGTTTTAAAAATATTTTGGTTATTTCTGATTTGCTAAGGAAGACTAGATAAATATCATTGTTTGTTTTTTGTTTAAAATTGATATGTATGTTTTTTTTGGATGATCACTATTATATGGTAAATCATGATCCAATTATGATATGATACAAATGGTGGTTTATAATGTTCTTGATCCAAATTATTCACAAAAAAGTTGATATGATTGATATTATAAAATTTTCATTATTCAACTATTATATATGTATAGTTAATTCAAAATTGTATATTTTTGTAAACCAAATTCTATTCATAATTTAATGATGCAATTTCATTATTCCAAATTTTTATCAGGATTTTATCAATTAAATTATTTACTTGATATAAAAATGTGATGTATAAAGTCATGAACCAAAATTGTCCTTATTTATTTTTTCATATTTAATAAATTTTATCTAAAGTGGATCATTTAAGTTGTTTGGATCAAAGTTTTTGCCTAAAAAAATATAAAGAATAAAAAAGAACTTACTATTTAGAACATTGTTTTATTTAAAGCAAATTGTATATTGCTATTAACCAAATTTTAAATATTATTAAAAACTTGTAAATCATGTTTTGGATCGAATTTTTTGCGTCAAAAATATAAATATATAAAGAGTCAAAAAGAACTTACCATTTTGAAAACATTTTATATAAACCATCAAATAATATTATTTAAATCTTTGATGCATAAAGTAATGAACTAAAATTGTTTATTTTTTGGAACCAAATTTCAAATCTTACTAGAATCTTATAAATCTATTTTGGATCAAAGTTTTTGCATAAAAAATAGAAATATATAAAGAATCATAAATAACTTACAATTTAGAATACCATTTTATTTAAACCATCAAATGTTATTATTAACTACTTATAAATCATATTTGCATCAAAGTGTTTGCATTAAATATCGAAAGATTTAGTGATTCAAAAAGAACTTATTATTTAGAACATCATTTTATTTAAAACATCAAACAAATTTATTAATGAGTATATTGTTCTTTTGTTAAAAATATATCAAACAAATTTAAAATCTATCAAACATTAGATCTCGATTCTTCTTTTTGGAATTTATGGAAATTACGTGTATCATGTTTTTCACTTGTAGTGTAGTTTATGTCTTTACCGCATGACATTTTCTTCACTCCTTTTTTGTTTTTTCAATAGAAATCTCCTTATTTCCCTTTATTCTTTTGTTCAATCTTCCACCATATTTTTTATTGATTAAAGCAGGAAGTAATATGTTTATTTTCTCTTTTTATGCCGCACTCATTAAAGTCTCTATAACTTCTTTGTTCTTCATTGGATTTGCATTTTTTGTTTCTTTGTCAATTGTCATTTTCTCTTTCATTTCATCTTTGAACAAGATCAATTTGTCAAAATCATTCACCAACTTATCGATGTAGAACTCCATTGTGAATTGCAATTCCCATGTAACAAACTTAATTTCTTCTTTATTGTCGCTTGTATGGACATTTGTTAGATTATAAGTATGCGTGTATCATGGTACCATATCTTTTTTCCATATCTTTGACAAATATGCTTTTAGGTAACTTTCCACACTGTCCATTCTTAAATCATAGAAACAGTGTCTACATAAAATCCCCGTCAATTCAAATCTTAAGCAAGAACAAAGAAGTTTTTGATTCAATTTAAAAAGTTTACCTTGTAAAAAATAGTAAAATAATCAATATAAGTTAATTTAATAAGAGTGATATAATTGTAGTTAATAATATACCTCAAATTGGACATGATGTGTTGGATGTTTGTTTGTATATTTTATTGTAAATCTTTTCAATTCTTTTGATTCATCTAATATTATTAACATGTAACTAACCATTGATGCAAGAATCTCTAATTGAATATCAAAGAAAACCTATCTTATGAAGAATTAACCAGCTTCAACTTCAAATTTCAATCCAGTTTTAACCATGGATGCAAGAATCTCTGATTGATACCAAGGTAAACCCAACATATATGTTAACAAAGTCATTGCCTACGGAGAAGTTCAAGCTTTGCTTGGACTTGGGTGTTGCTCTTTGGAGTTAGGTCCCTTCGGGGATATATAGCAGGAAGGGAGATGAAGTTATTAGTTTAAGGTGGAGCTCAAAGGATACTCAAGTCAAGGTGGATATTGTTAAATGTGACTTAAGCACTTAGATACGATGGCACACTTGGATGCAATGATGCACTTGGATATGAAGGCACACCTGGATTTGATGGTACACGTGGATTCGATGGCATACCTGGATGCAATGGTACACCTAGATGTGATGGCACACTCGAAGAAGTGTCATTCACAGGAAATGGAATGAAGTGGCAGGAGGTGCTACTCAATGGCACCTCGAAGGCATTCCATGCATAGGAGGTGCCATCAAGTTTGAAAGTGTCACTCAATGTCACACTGATATGCCATCATGGCACCTCGACGATGTGTCATGCACTGGAAGTGACACAGGGTGATAGAGGGTGTCACTAAGTGATAAGGTGTGTCATGCAATGACACCTGATGTGCTAGTGGTGTATTAATA